GGTTGCTTTAGATATTTAGTCATAAATTACTAGGACTCCAAATATCTTCCTAGGTTTTTAGTTCCCGGGATCCCCAAACTGTTACTGAGTGTTGTGGCCTTGATACCCTCCACATTCTTTCAAAAGAATACCCGCGATTTCGGTTTGCTAATCTATTGGCAAATGCCCCACCAAAGACTTCAAACGTCTCATGTATCACCTGTACCTGTGAATCATCAACCACTCCAAAGAGAATGAGGGTGTCAGCAAGAATAAATGAGACAAGTCATGCTTTGTACTCGCAGGCCTAATTGGCCTCCATCTTCCCTCCTCCACAACTCCACGAATCAAGAGTCGCAGTCTTTCCTTACATGGAGTGAAAATGTATGGGGAGAGTGGACAACCTTGCCTTGGGCCTCGAGATGGTAAGAACTAGTCCGTCAACCCCCCATTCCATTGGATACGCATCCTTGCAGTAGAGATGCATTGGATGGTTATCTCCATGAAATGTGTCGGTAGTCCTACCGCCTAGAGAGTGTCCTGGACAAAGTTCCATAGAGTACGAAACCCTAATAGGATGAATGGGACTCTGATACCATACGAAACTTGTATGAGGGGTCGGATTTGGAGGGAAACACGCAAAAGGGCTCTTGAGCCACAAGGGATGTATATATACTGTGAATGACATCGTCATCTGTACAAGCTAGGTAGCTAAGTTGAATTACAACGATAATATCCAACTAAACACTATCTACCAATAAGAAAGAGGCACTTGTCATTTACACTGATTACTGAAACCGAAATGGATACAAGGTAGAACGACTTCGTTCATTCCCAGTTTATCACTTGCTTCTAGTTAAAACATTGTCGTGCTATAAACTCTGCAATATCCTTGGTCCAGGTGCAAATCTTAGCAACAAGCTTCCCAAACTTCTGCCTTCTCCAATAGGCATTGCATGCCTGTCTAGTCTAGATGCTTGTCTATGAATGCGTCGATATGCAGAACTTTCCTAGCTCCCAACTTCAAGTGATTTTCATTCAATATAACAGAGGCGCAGAGAGTAGCATAGTCTTCAAATAATTAGAATTATTAAAACACAAGTTATCAAAATTACCAAAACAATAAAGTTACTGTTCATTACGACAAAATAGCGATAACCACTCTTTAATCGGAAACTCTAACCCCTACGGCGCCGTAAGACACACTTATACCGAAAATAATGGCACTTTCGTCGGGAAACACTGTTCATCACCGGATTATTGAACGGTTTAATTCCCTGTGGCCCTTTGTAGCGTAATTCCGTAGGAAGACCCTGTCGGTTGGCCAAACATCAGATGAACTTACCCTATGGGGTCATGAAGAAGAAGAGAGAAGGTGAACTGAAGAAGCATTTAGTCACCAATCGGACCGAGCCGGATGTTTATAATCAGTTGACGACCACTAGGATGTGCTACATGGAACAGAATAACAATTGTCTATGTATTCCCACATGCTATTCAAAAACATAGGTTTGCATGAAAATTGAAAACCTTCTCTGGTGCTATGTATTCCCACATGCTAAGAATTGTAACCATAAAAAAGAGATAAGAAGAAAGTATAATTGCATTTTGTGTGACTGCTAATCCAACCGAAACAAAAGGAAGGTAGAAAATATGTCAACAAAACTCAAGCTAATCAGAAATTTCTCTCCCAAGTGGTGGAGAAATCACCCCAATTACACTCACCTTCCTCACCCTTTGTATCACAAAGGGAAGATGGAAGACCAAGAGTGAAAGAAATAATGAGAACTCGGGGTTGGCGGGAAGAAAGAGAAGAGATGTCATGTGGTTAAACTAAAATATTAATGCATGGAGATTGCAGACTCTTCTTCAGCCAGAGCAGCTTGGAAGGAGGGGGGAAGAGAAGGCGAAATGAAACCCTCATAGTAACAGGCGCTGTCGATTAGATTTCATTTGGTTGCCATTTGCCATCGAAAAGCAGAATTTAGCCAAGGGATCGGGGAAAACTGATAGAAAACTGAAACCCGATAATTGAACGAAAAAAGCATTACATGATTAAAGCCACATGAAGAATCCCAGTCCGTGCCAAAACCCAGTTGAAGAGGAGTGATGGAAATTAACATGCATAGCTCCATCGGCTAGGATTTCGGGACTTCAAATGATTTCAAAGACAAGGATTGAAAACTATTGTAGAGCCCAATTCCCCTCCCTCCAGTTGTGCAAGCGATGGAAATAATGCTCTGGCGCTGAAAAGTCTCCCATGCAAAGAAGAAGATGAGCTGAGATTTTGTGAATTTCAATTTTAAATCTTATAGATCCGCTTGAGATGGATACCTTAGCTGAATTGAAAAGGAAATAGCACTAACAACTATAAGAGGGCCTCAAGTGGTGGAGGATCATCACCTCCCCTCCATTCTCTATCTGGCTATCTAATTATGCAAGAGGGGATTTTTGGATGTCTAGCTAATAGAGAGCAACAAATAGTTGGATGGCAGGGAAATGGACAAGCGGCTCAGGTGCATTTGTTGCATGAATTGGAGCCTACACGTGTACACCAACAAAATTATATTGTTGGCGGAAGCCAAATCTTCTTCTATCTCCTTCTCTTCAATTTACGGATTTAATTGTCTTCGCTAACTAATAATTAGCTCTTATATTTACTACTTCAACAGAAATTTTTGACTATTCCTTCCGAACTTGCTACAAGGTCAGCACTAATTTTGAAATTATAGTGAAATTTATGATTTACAATAAGGATGTGCATTGATTTTAGTTGGACACTTTGGTTATAAGACTTTTTTTCAACCCTTATACCAATTTTATTGAAAGTATTTTTTCTTCAATAGTCATTTGTCTTATGTAATTTTTTGTTCTCATTCCCTACACCCCAGGGGCGGAGCCAGGATTGAAAGTTCGGGGGGGCCGGATTTATTAAGTAAATTATTGTGAAAATCCAAAGATAAAAATAAATAATAACGACACATATGAATTAAAATAGAAAAAACTCAAAATATAAATAATTTAAAGTTTGCTAGTATGTTATACTCAAAATAAATGTTTATACTGTGAGCAAAAATTATCATGCATTTTAACATGTAATTGTTTTATACCTTGAATATGAATTTATGATTATATTATTGTTTTTAAAAATTAATTAATTACATATCAAAAAACAATCTTTGAAAATATGAATGTAGAAGTTTAAGAACTTGACTGAATTTATTTGAAATTACAGGATTTATAAGACAAAATAGAAAAATTAGAGGATTAGACAAAATAGAAAAATTAGAGGATTAAACTGGAAAAAAACTGTTAAAATTATAAAAAGCAATGCTGTCTATCAGAATCGAACGCTGAACCTTCTAACTAAAACTCCATGACTTCTCCGCTACACTACAAATCTAGGATGTTAATAATATTTCACTCTAATTTTATATAGTTGTTAGATTGAGTTTATACGTAATTCTCGGAATTTCCTAGGACTTTATACGTAAGTTTCAAAATTCTCGGGGGGCCGGGGCCCCCCCGAGAGCCTACATAGCTCCGCCCACCCTATTTTACGGCAAACCTTACTCTATGTAAAGATATTTATTTCATATTACGAAAGATTTACAAATACATTAACTTAATTATAAATATATTATGTAAAACTTATGAAGATTGTTTTTTATTTCTTATATATTAGTTAAAAAAATGTACTACGTAGTTTTTCTTTTATAATTAAGACACTATGCAAAACATATAGATGAATAGTGAATTAAGCATATTAATTAAGTGTTTCATATATTTAAGTTTGAACAAAAAATCATATATTATCAACTTAACATTTGACCATCTTATACATATGCATTACACAAATTTTTTGTATGGTCAGTAATTTTTTACCTAACAATTTAATCAAATGTGACAGTATTCATGAATTAACTAATTCATTTTTTTTTGTAGAAATTAACTCATTCATTAGTGACAGCAATATTCACCATCTCATTAATTCACATTACAAATGTTATGTTGGATCATTTAGATTTTAAATACCTTTTCTAAATTAATTACATTATTCTTCAATAAATTCCATTATTATTGCCTCAAATATTCATAATTTCATCAATTTATATTACGTAGAAGTTTTCATAAGATAAGCTAACTTTTATGCAATAGTTAAATCAAATGTGATAATTTTTTATAAGTTAATTTCATTATTAGATCACACATAAAAAATAATTTACGTAACAATATTCTATGACAATTAAGTAAATTACAAATACATTACATAAAACTTATAAAGGGATAATGATTCCTTATGTATAAGTTAAACAAATGTATAACATAAATTTCGGATACTGAATAAAACTTAAAAGGTTATCTTACCCGAATTATTTTTTAAATTATTCTATTTCAACCGAATCATTAAAAAATTAGATGAAATTTTAATCATAAATCATGTTTTACTGCAGCGAAGTTCGGGCCAAATAACTAGTTATATATGGTACTTGTAAATTGGGAACGGCAACTATATACTTTGTCAATTTACCGAGCTTGGGAAAATTTCATGTTCTTTTATACGTGTATATTTTTCTCCCTCACTATTTTCATTTCACTAATAATCGTAAAACTAAATCTCAAAACTGATGATCTATATCGAGAGAGGGCACAATTATACAGGAGTTGAGTTGCCTATCATATCATGTGTACACCAAATGAAGAGTAAATTGTAAAATGTAAAAGACACCAATCCCAAAATCAACTAACAAGAAGACCATCATGCTGCCTGCCTGCCTCCCTCCCTGCTCTAATCCTTTGCTCCTACTTCGTCAACTCATCTCTACAGTTGCACCATCCAAATGAAAGAGCTTCGATCACCACATCCAAACTCTCAGAAGCTGGAACTAATATTAGGGTTCGCCTGCACCCCACCCTACAACAAGAATCAAAGTCAAAACCCCTGATTGCCGCGCCCCTACTGCCATCTATCAGGCAGACAACCCGAGAAATCTCCGACGAACAACACCACCTTTACCCTTTCAGTCCTCTTCTTCCGAGTCTGCAATGGCAAGAAATAACCATGATCAGTTGCTGGGGCTTGAAGCAGAAGTGAGCCACTATTGCAATAAGATGGGGGGGAAAAAAAAAACTAAAGGACCAGAAGCTAGGAGGTCATCTGTTGAAAGATGGAACCAAATTGCATCCATATGTCATTCCAATGTCAACTAATTACAGGAAAAAGAAGAACAACAGACACAAATTCACTAACTAAAGCGGTGAAGCCTTACCAGATCTTATATCGCCTTCAACCTTTCCACTATTCAATAGTTGCTTTTTTATCATAGCCCATATCAGAATCCACCAGTAGACGTGGAATATAAGTAACGTAATCAGTAACGTGTTGAACCCATAGTACAATGACCTTGGGTACCACCGTCTTAAATCCAAGTACTCCACAAGATCGCGGCTGCAGATAAAGCAACCACGTGATATTGTAACAAATCTGACAGACATAGAAAGGAGGGAAGGAGATCAAGTAATGTGACAAACCTTGTACTACTGATAACCCAAAATGGGAAGAATATCAATCGCAGGATGAGCCATGAGGCAGCAAATAAACCAAAGCAAATGCTTGCTCCAAGCTCCTTCCTGGTCTTGTTAAAGATTTTAGCAGCTTCTAAGAATACATCACTAGCATCATGGAGGGCCAGGATGATAGTACCTATCCGGAAAAAGCTGGAGAGGGAAAAGTTTAGACATTCGACTACATCGTCAGTTAGAAGTGCTTCTTCTGAAAAGCAACTTATAGAATAGGCAATCTTAGAGAGCATTTTCTGGTTATGTGAGACACCAAAAAGGGAATTTACCAAAGTTTGTTACTGTTTGAATCATATGACAATTCTACAAGTTGTTCTTGTCAGATGCCAAAGTTCACCCACCCACAAGAGAGATGAATAAGGGCACCGCTTTCGAACTATAAAACTATTTGAATTCAGCAAATGAAATAGATTTGGTGAACATTAAGAATCTTAAGTAGAAAATGAACGACCAATCGTTCACCTGCGTTAGATGGTAATGGGAAGTCCATTTCTTCAGTGAAGACGACAAATGGAAAATGCAGTGAAAGGGTGAAACAAGAAGATGGCCATTGGACAAATTATAAGGCCAATGAAAACCTTTAGGATGTGTCAACTACAATAAATTGTCAGTCATAGAGCTATGTGATTACTGAAGCACTACCTTGTAACATACGAGATTCCAATCAATGCTACTGTAACAACATGATGAGACATCATGACAGAGAAATCCTTCCTTCTAGTTTCCCACAGAATGAGAGCAGGAATACTATAGAGGTAGAATCCACACTGGCACATGTAATATAGCATAATGGAAAGCCTGCGATGGAAAAATGACTTGTCAGTGCTCAGGATAGAAACTTAGAGCCAAAATGATGTATGACTCTCATAACATAAGATACTATTTAAAGACAGAAGAGAAATTTGGTATCTAGAGTATTAGAAATACACCACACACACAACAAAAAATGATAAGGCTGATTAGCCTGAACAACTAGCAGTAATAAGAACAAAAATATTATATTTTAGACCCAATCCCAATAGTTGCCCACAAAAACAGTAGGATAGCTAATACCATTTAACTACTCACTTCAATTCTTGATTTGGCAAGCCTCTGAAGTACAGCTGTGAATCCCAGAACCATGGCTCCTCAAACAGAATCTTCAGAACATACACTTCAAGAGTGGCATAGTATGTCAACTTCCACATTGACTCGGTGCATTTAACAATTGTCGCCTGCGTAACCTCATCTATCTTCACTGAAGCTGCTCTCTTGCCTAACAACCAAACAGTCAAACCCTACAATGTACACAAGAACAGGGCATCACAAGGAGGTGAAAAATAAGAAGAGTGAAGTGTTCAGTTCCACTCTAGTTTCTTTCTCCTATACAAATGACACCAGGTCAACTTATGACACAGTGTAATGGCAAAAAGTACAGATTCTATGAAACACCACAAACAGAAATACACAATGCATACACAAATTATTTTGTCTCATATTCTCAGTCTTGTCAGAGGCACAAGTTAATGAGAATGAACCCTCTTCCCAATTCTGTCAAGTAATATCGAACAAGGCAGCTTCTGCGAGAAAAAGTTCATATTTTCTCAACAAATAAAGCTAAAGATGCAATTTTTTTTTTTTCAAAATCAATAAACTGTTGGAGAACAGACACAAGATGATCCTGACACTAATTTCATCTTTTTCTAATCACTAAACACACCCTTCAGAACAATCATTTGCAAATATTTCATAGTCAATCCCACAGTGCTTCAAGAGACCCAAATGAATAAACTCTTGGCTCTACACATTTGTTGTTCAGATGAAGCAAACAGAGAAAAAAATAATATTCCTTCAAGTTTTTGATTACATAAGATGGTGATGCCCTCCCCTGTACCCTGTACCAACTTTGGTGAGCCTAACCAAAGAAAAGACAAGTGGAGACGATCCAAGAAAATCTTTCGAGGAGAAAATATTATTCCCAAAACCTCCCCAAGGAAATGGTAGCCTAAACCAGACACCCAGAGTTCCAAAAGAGTTTTCCAAACAACTCAACTATTTTACTATGGCCTTAACAGCTAGGAGACATACCCATTCCGAGCTAGACAGCACAGGAACTCAGCCAATGAGACACTATTCGAAAGCTGTACTTCCAAGAGCTTCCACATTACCAATCATGACAGCGTTCCCTACTGCTCAAATCAGTTAAACAACACTCGACGAAATGCAGGAAACTATGCCGGAGCTTTCTCAAATTGCTCAATCCTAATCTAGCAGTAGACTCGTCTTATGGGGGCAAAGCATGAATCAAAACTAACTAAGAATACGTCGAAGCCTAAATTCTTTCCCATGGCTTCACCAACCCACGGAATCGCAGCAACCAAACAAGAGCAATTAAATAACCCATATAATCAGAATTAAAGCCAAGAAAACGAGACGCGACAAAGCGAATGCAACAAAAGAAAGAAAAGCCAAATCTAACCCGAAAGATGAATTTGTCGAGGAGGAACCTAGCGCCGCAGAGACAGACCGCGAAGCAAACAGCGGTGACGGAATGCCAGGGTTCCGGCGGCCCAATATCGCGGCTCCAGATCCCGACGGCGTCCATAGAGACAAAGCTTGGAAAGGAAAAGAGCGAGGAGGTGGAGGAACAGTCACCGGCGGATCGAAGCGGGCGGAGAAATGTGTGGCATTGGATGGAAAAAGGCGCCAAGCTCAGGGAGAGATCTCAGCGGCACACAATCCGAGTTGAATATTATTCCGTGCCCTGGCTGAGAAATGAGCAGAGGAAGGAAGGAAGAAGGGAATATACGCACAAATTTATGAGGGGGGAGTTATGTTATTGTTGGGGGACTGCAGCACAAGATGGATGGGTGAGCGTGAATGCTTTTGTTTTTTGCTTGCTTGGCTTCTCCTCCATTTTGCTCCAGCAGGCAGCAGCTACTTTCTTGGTTATTTATTCGCTTTAATTAAACATGCTAACTAATTTTAAGTTACTCAATATACCACCAAATCATAAATAATTTTTCTTAGATTATCATTTTTAATGTTGTATAATTGCTAGAATTTTGAGACGAATCGGATGATGAAAATAAAATTTTGATGCTTGATGTGTCATATGCATCCAAACAAAAATAAGGTTGTTCCCTTGACTTTTTAAAGGAATTTATTCTATTAAAATAAATTTTGTGTTTATGGCATACCCACAAGTTTGAGTGTATATGATTAGAGATAGATATTAGGGTTCAGGGAAGATTGGCCTAAACCTATCCACATCCCATTTTCAATTCCCAAACCCATATTCTCTCCATCCTTATTATTTGGGTGGAGCTTTTTTCATTCTCATCCATTTGATTTTCGGATAACCATGGATATTACATATTCTATATAGTAAAGACTTGTGTACTCAAGAAGTATAGTATACTCCAAGTGATATGACTGTTAAATGTATTTCGATGAGTTCCTATCAATCTCAATAGTCAATTATATAAAGAAATAATAGATGAGCATGTTTGATGGAAGCCATGTAGAAATGTCCTTCTTTTCAAATGTACGGTAATATGAATAAATCTATTTTAGCCCAAACGATAAAGAGTCATTTGGGTCCAAGGGGTTTGGGGCGTTAGACATTACCGCTCCGCCTATCAAAAGAGTGGGGGAGAAGATGTCAGACAGAAAAATTATAGAGAAGCTTTAGTAAATGTAGAGAGAACATTATACAAGTTTGGATGGTAGATACGTGATCCAGGTCAAGCTATAAATTTTATGGTCAAGCGCCTGACACTCTCGGTCACTGTACATTTTACTTCTTGTGTCAGAAGGTGTCGGATAATCTAAAGTATATTGAAGTTCATATGCAGTCCCTAGAGATTTCAAATAATTTCCTAGCTTATTTACATACTGAAACCCCTATGAAATCTCTGCCAAAGCCGTTCAAATTTTTCAAGCTTTGGTTGAAGCATCCCAAGTTTGACTCGCTTATTAAAGAAGGTTGGGATACAATAGTTTCAGACCCTCCTCTTACCAGAATATATAAGAAGTTATGGGTTCTGAAAGGCTTAATGAAGAAGTTGAATAGAGAACAATTCTCACAGTTGAGAGATAGAGCGGAGGGAAAAAAAGAAATTTTGCAACATATCCATAGTTAGGCTCTTATCATATCCATCACTAGGTTTGTTTGAACTGGAAAGAAATATCTCCTAAGAGCTTTTTTGTCCTAATATCAGCTGAAGAATCATTCTTTAGGAAAAGAGCTAAGGGAAATTTGGTTGAAAGGATGCTAACACAGTCTACTTTCAAAGATCTGTCAAAACAAGGAAAATAAGAAATACTATAAGGTAATTGAAGGATCTCATGGAAACAGAAGAAATGTGCAAGATTGTTGATGAGTTCTATAGAGGATTACTTGGACAGACTAATGGGGAACTGAAGACACCTCCTATTGAGTTCTATGAGAACATTCTAAAAAATACTCACAATATAACGGTATACCCATCTATGTGATCCTATTTGAGAAGAGGAAGTAAAGGAAACCATATTTTGGATGAATGGTGATACGAGTCCAAAACCCGATGGATTATCATCAATTACTTTTTTCCACGCTACATGGTCACTTGTGGGTGTTGAAATTACCAAGGCAATTCAAAAGTGCTTTCTTGACATGAATGATACAAATAACTAAAATAACGTTTTTGTACGGGGAAAAATCTCGTGAAGAAAATCCCATGGCTAAAAATAAGTTGTATTGTAGTGAGATGCCCTGCAAAATGACTTCCACAATCCTTACCTAAATTCCTGAAGTATCAAATCGAGAAGAGATGAAGAATTTTAAGTCTATTGCTTGTTGTAACATCATATGAAAACGCTCTTTCTGGAAACTTGTCAAGTTAGCGGAAACACATATCAAAGATAGTTTCTAAGAGATTCAGTGAAGTACTTCCTTTGATCATTATAAAAAACCAAACATTTGTAAGGGGCAGAGTTATATGAGATATCTTTCTTTTAGATCAAGAGTTAGTTTGAAGGTATTCTGCGACGAACATTCACCTAGATGTGCAAACAAGATGATCGTATGAAGGCTTTTGATTCAATCAATTGAGATTTCATTTTAACTGTACTTAAAGCTATATGTATAACTGCTGCATTTTTTAGTGGTCAAGAATATGCATAGCTCAAATGTTGAGTGTGCGGTTAAATTGGTCGTTTCATTGGGTATTTTGAAGCTTTCCAAAGTTTTAGACAGGGAGGTCATTTATCTTCATATCTATTTGTTGTGGCTAAGAAGGTTTTTACTTTTCCTTGGGATGAATCTGCTAGTAATGGTCAGTTTCCTTTCCGTCCTATGTGCAAAAAGATTGGGATAGGCGGATAACATATGTGTGTTTCGGGGTTGATCTGTTGGTTTTCTCATATAGCTCCAACGTTGGGATTCAAATTATATAAGGAGTTTGGAGAAGTTTGGAGTTTTGTTAGGTCCGAGGTCCAATCCTATCAAATGTGAGATATATTTTGGGGGATTGGACCAAGGAGAAATGACAATAAGAGCTGCTAAATTTGGCTAGTAGTTAGTAAAATTTTCAATATGATACTTGTGAGTCCCACAAATAACTGGTAAGTTAGAGTGTAGCCTTTTTTGAACCTCTTATTGATCATTTCACTGACAGAGTTAATGGATGGAAGGTATTGACTTATGCGGGCAGTCTAGAGCTAGTGAGTATAATTTTATGTAGTTTGACTCAATATTTGATGTCGGTGTTTGTACTTTTGAAGGCTGTCATCCGAGAAGTGGAAAGAATTTGTAGCAATTTTTTTGGGACTGGAAGTGGGTAACATGATCAAAGCAAAAGTTGTCTGGAAGCATTTGGCTTTCCCTAAGGCTGAAGGAGGCTTGGGTGTGAGAGACCTTAATTACCTCATGGAATTTAACATGTATATTCATCCATATTTGGGCTATCATGTTGCAGTTAGGGGGTGTTCAAATGGTTACCATGGTTATTACGAAACTAAATGAGGCAAAATTTCATTAACCATGGAATACAATATCATAACCAAACCGTCCAAACTAATACAACAACCAAATTAACCAAACTAAAGTTTAATCGGTTTGGTTAACTGGTTAACCAGATTAACCAATATAAAATCACATTATCATTAAGTGAGAAAAATTTCAATTAATTTATCAATTCACAATTTATATAATGAATAAAACATAACAATCAACACATAGTTATAGTTGACCCTTAACATAAATACATGCAACTAAGACAATTATCTTACGGTTAGTATAGAAGTATTCACCTAACAAAAATTTATCACAATGGTATGGGTTAATGAATTGTTGTGTTTGTTTGAATTGACTTTGGGGTCGTTTGGATGGAGCATTCTAATGAGTCAATTTGATTCAATTGGCTCAAAATGAGACAATCGGACCAAATTGCCTCATTTGGCCACAAAAAAAGCAGATGAAGCAATTGAGCAAGGGGGAATGTGAATTGGTCCATAACGAGACAATCTGAATTGTCTGGGTGGGGGTAGGTTTTCTAGATTGCCTCGTTTTTTTGTGGCCTTTCCCAAAGTTAACCTTTTAATTCTCTTTTCTATTTTATTTCCCAACTCTCTCTCTCTCTCTCTCACGCCTCACTCTGTCAAAACATCCATCTCTCTTCTCTTCTCTTTTCTTCTCTTCATCTTCCATATCTCTCTGGTTCTCTTTTTCCTATCCCCGTTAATTAGTTTGATTCTTGCCAACAATGGAAATAATATAGAGGGCATAATTACGTCTTCTTTCATCTGAATCGACGAACGGAAACAATAAGGAAATGAAGACAGCAAACGGTGATGGACACGGCGACAATCGACGCCGGCAACGACGACTACAACAGCGGCGAGGTCGGTAATTAGGGGGTTTTTTAATTGCATGTCTGGTGATTTGATTTCGATTTCTGGAGGTTATGCTGAAGATGAGAAGATAAAGGGTGGAGAAGTTGTCGCTGGCAAAGAACTTCGATGGCGGAGAAGTCGTCGGTGTATTTTTTTTCTTTTCTTCCCCTCTCCGTCGAAGTTAGTGACGGCAGGTCTCGATTCTCTCTGTTCTTCTTTCAGGCAGTAAATTTGGTTGTTTAATTGGTTGAATAGGCATGGTCATGGTGATGAAATTGTTGATCTTTTTCTGGAAAGCTGTTGATATTTGTTCTGGAAATTTGTTCCTCCATCTATGAGTAAGAAAGGAAGATGAAGGAGGGTATAAAATGAGGGCAAAATTGTACTTTCCAGGAATATCTAATTCTAATTGTCTCATCTTATATTACAAGCCAAACGGTAGATTTTGGGACAATTTTCTCATACAATTGTCTCATTTTCTAAAATGAGACATTTACTTCAAATTGACTCATTTTAGAAATGTTCCATCCAAACGACCCCTTTGTCTTTTAGCAATTTTCATAGGCTGAAAAGGACCTTGTTTTCAAGTTTTCATCCAACATAATGTATGAGATTTATCTAAACTAGGCGTTCATATGTTGTGGTCTACACTCTACATATACTAATATACATTATAGGAACAATATCAAGCTTTATATTTTATGAGTCTAAAAGGGATGAACGTTTAAC